GAAAAACAAATACTGTGGAAGTAAATGGTTACAGGTTTCCAGCATTCTTCAAACTATCTTCTTTTGCTTTCAACTCAAAAAAGGTTTAAAAACACTTGAAAGTGAGTTAATTGTGAATAAATGTACATTACATGAACTAACCCTTTAACAACGTTGCCGTTGTACTTTTGACTGATTTACTAAGCATTGTTATTGTCCAGTGAATGGCAGTAAAGAAATCATGATCAACACAAATACACCTGCTATACTGAGAACTCATCCAGTCAAAATGAAACTGACCTTGTTAATAGCCATGGACAGGAAGTGGTCGAGCAGGAAGCGAGCCTCTGATAGTGTGCATGAGCTGATCACGGCGGACACGTCCACAGTATCGCCCTCCTCCTAGAACCCCAAACAAACACATCCAATGATAAACCATAACCAATCAAACACCACAGACTAGATGATCACTGGCTAGAACATGAGGCGGTGTGACATCATTTCCTGTTCTGCACAAGCACCTTGGCCTCCTCCATCTGCATGATGTTGGCCTGGCAGTCGGCGATGCTGTCGTTGATGTAGTCGATGTTGGCGCTCAGCGACTCCATCTCTTCATTAAGAGACTGGACCGTCCTGTCGGCGTCAACGTCCTCGCTGGAGATCTTGTCCCGCTTCCTCATCACCTTCTCCCTGCGTCTGGTCAACTCTTCACGTTGCTGCGCACACAAATTACAGAGTTAAAGAAAAAAATGATCTTATTATTCAGAGTTTTTGACTTGTTTCTAGTCCAAATATCTCTAAATTTTCAAATCAAGGAGCATTTAGGACCTAAATAAGCTGCTGTTTACTCAATATCATGTAAATTCCACAGGTATAAAACACCGATGACAACGAGCCAATCAGAAGACGAAGCAAACTGTGATGAGACTCACGAGCCGCTCTCTCATCATTTGCATGCAAGCCTACTTTAGGTCGTTCATCCGGATCTGACAAGCAGCTGACGTCATTAGGAGAACACAGACTCATTTGCAGCTCTAGGATCATTAATATGCATGCCTCAGGCTGCGTTTGATAATCAACAATGCTTTCTAGTGGGAAAACAATGATAGTTTCCCTCCCGTAGTTATTTTGAAGGATACTTGCTGAGTATGGGGGACTTTTATTTTGTAAATGCAACTGCAGATTGTTTACTATGCGTCACTGGGCAAGCTTTACAGATTATCCATTCATTCATCTCCACTCTGAAGAGCCGTAAGGCAGGTTTAATCGTGTGTTTTGGTAATTCATCGTGTTTATTGTGAAATTGGATGCGTGTGTTTATGATTCAACAAACACATGTAGACTGCTGAATCATGTCGAATCACTCAGACTGTCATCTTTCCATGCAGATAATATTATTAACAATGTTTAACGGAGAGCAGATTTCTTCAGCACATTTCTAATCATAATAGTTTTAATAACTCATCGCTAATAACTGATTTATTTTATCTTTGCCATGATGACAGAAAATACTATTAGACTAGATATTCTTCAAGACACTTCTATACAGCTTAAATGGATATTTAAAGGCTTAACTAGGGTATTTAGGATAACTAGGCAGGTTAGGGTAATTAGGCAAGTTATTGTATAATGATGGTTTGTTCTGTAGAGTATCGAAAATATAAAGCTTAAAGGGGCTAATAATATTGACCTTAAAATGGTGTTTAAAAAATTAAAAACTGCTTTTATTCTAGCCGAAATAAAACAAATAAGACTTTCTCCAGAAGAACAAATATTATCAGACATACTGTGAACATTTCCTGAATCTGTTCAACTTAATTTGGGAAATATTTAAAAAAGAAAAAATGTAAAGGGGGCGAATAATTATGACTTCAACTGTATATATTTATATATATTTATATATATATATATATATATATATATATATATATATATATATATATATATATATATATATATATATATATATATATATATATATATATATATATATATATATATATATATATATATATATACATATACATATATATATACATATATATATATATATACATATACAGATATACATATATATCCATATATATGCACATACACATATATATATATATATATATATCCATATATATATATATATAGATAGAGCTACATACATACATATATATACATATACATATATATATATATATACATATACAGATATACATATATATACACACATACATATACATATATATATATATATATATATATATATATATATATATATATATATATATATATATATATATATTTGTCTGTGTGTGTGTGTGTTAAAGGATATATCATGCTTCTACCAGAAATATCCCAGAGACCCACCATCCCCCAAGTGAGACTTTGTCATTTCATTGGCTTCACTTGGCAAAAAACAAAAACTGAAAAAATAAATAAAAATACCTCGTCCCCCGGCCACCCCATATGTGTATATATATATATATATATATATATATATATATATATATATATATATATATATATATGT